TATGTCCTATTTGCATAACATAATGCAAATAAGTTACATTTTAGGTTATTAAAGAAGTTTTTTCAAACTTAACACATGGACTTATTTATAATATAAATTATATTTTATTAATATTATTATATTAAACTTCTTATAATTCATTCAAACTACATTTTTTTATCCGTCACTTTTAAATATATGCTGCCCTATATAAAGTCATGCTTCTGTACTTATTAAATAATGCATTTATATCTTATTTTGAGATTTTATTGCACGATATATTTTCAAGTAAGTTATCATAAATTTTAGATTAAACATTAAAATCAAGTTCTTATCATATAAACATGTTGGCTTTTTTAAGTTTATATCATGATTATTACAAAATTAACTTATATTTTTATTGAACATGTTCTATTTTTTAAATTGAAGTTAATATAAATTTATTTTAACATATGGTACACGTTTAATTTATTTTATTTCCTAAATACTTATGAAAAAATTAATATAAATGCAACTATAATATATTTTTGACAAATATTATTATTTAAATAAAATAATATGAGTTTTATTAAATGAAAAATGATACTAAAACATAAAGATGAGATTTTTTGTCATTTACTATATAGCTTACACTATTTTTGTTTAATAATTAATATAAAGTATGTTAAATGTATTTTGCCATATTTGTTAACAATAGTATACAGACAAGGTATTTAGGAAGGTATAACATAAAGTTAGATATCATTGTTAGTAATGTTTAGTGTACACTACTTGTATTTAGGAAGTGGTTTGAAGAGTTTATGGACGAGTATTAACTAACTATAGTATGTTAATTTTAATTGTATATAAAATTCATTAAAAAACTATCTGATTAATTTTATTTCACAGTATTTGTATCTAACTTAGGTACCGCTATGGCAGCATAAAATAGCTTTATGAGACTGGAACTACTTCAAATCCTCAATAAAGGGGTGAAAATACTTGAAGATGAGAGTGATATTTGTTGGTAGCTAGGAAGATAATAGGTCTTATTTATGATACTAAATATTGTTGGAAATCTTTTTTTCTAATGTATTTTTAAGAAAGCAAAGCTAGTTATTTAAAATATTTTGCTTAACAAAGTGATCAATGCAATATATATGCATTATCTAATGAGAAAGTAAAATTCATTTAACTAATGTTCAAGTTTTAGTTAGGATTTTATCCATTTTTTTTTTACATTTATGAAAGGTTATAAAGAAGGAAATGATGTTGATTAATGGAGAGTCGGAACAACAACGTGAGACATGATGAAGATTTGACGAGGAGTACACCCAAAAGAGGGTGTTGGGTGATCATTTTTTGCAAGAAGAACTATACAACTTTGAATGGATATGCCATGCACCCATTTTTAACATTTTTCAGACCTCAATTTTCCTTTAAATGGTTCGATGCTCATTTCTGAGAAGATGGTATATTAAGTGTCCACATAACGTCTAAATTTTGTTTCGTTGACCATTTGTCAATCCTCATATTTTATGATCCAAAATAAAATGTAATACAAGTAATAAAATATTTATTGTCGTATATAATAAAGTTTAACTTTTTAAAAAAATCTTATTATCTTTCAGTACTTTCAAAATTGCCGTCTATCACTTACAAAACAAAACACAAATGTCTCATAAAAAAATGGTTTGTCCTAGCATTCTTAGAAGTAATTAAAATAATTAAAGAAGTATTAACATCAGTAAAATTAATTATAATTTTTAAAAAAATATTTAAAAGAGCAAAAATAAAAAATCATGTTTCTTATATATACATATATATATATATATATATATACATCCTGTTACTTTAAATATTGGAAAGAATGAAGAGTACTTTATTGTTCTGAAACAAAAAATGAATTTGTGAACATATGAAAAGTTAGAAATTACAATTAGTTAATTTTATAATTAAAAAACAGAAACGGAAGCGTCAAATATGTAAGTAATTTTGATTTTTTTTAATATCAAAATACTTTTTTGGATATCTCCAATTGGGATAGTAGGCCTTTGCACGGGTAATGAAGTGCAGGGCCGGCCCGGCCCTATTTGTTGCAGTTGGCACACTAAGCAATTTGAATTCGTATATAAAAACCCTATTATTACTTATTTTTGTAGATCTTTTGTCACTTTTGAAGAAGCATGTTTGGACGTTTTGTATTTTTTTAATTTTTTTTTCTAAGGAATTATGGATAGGAGAATATACAAGAGTCGAAGCTTGAATTTCTTCCTTAACTTTGGAGATTTTCTTCTTTGACCATCAATAAGCTATATGAAATTATCTTACCAGTGATATATATACACTTTCTACCGTGGACAACTTTTCACCATCGAAAATAATGAAATAGCTTGTGGTGTACAATTAGAGTTGATTGGATAAACTATATATTTATCCATATAGATCCAACGTCATCAAGAGAGATAACAATATCTACACAAATATGAAGGCTATTTTCTTATTATGAAAAACCTGTTGGTGAAAAAAGAAAACAGCGAAAGACAAAATTTTAAAAAATAACTTGGGCTATAAAGTGAGAGCTAAGGATAAGTTTTATTTGACTTGTCTTCAACTTATTGGGGTTAAAAGCATGATTAAAATACTGGCTGAGCAAAGAAAGCAGAAACAGTGAACATGACTTTAGTTTTCTTAATCTATTTCATATGCATATACAAATGGGATAAGGATATGCACTCAACTCTCGCTTCAATCACGCACACGCATATATATACATACTAATTAGAAGGTAACAATTAGAATATATAGCTTGTAAGCATTGTTAATTGCATATTATATGTGTATGGTTTCCCTTTCAAATAGTATTACTTAAATCATCTTGTGAATAGTCACCAACATGCTGAGTGTTCTTGTTGATAACGTGCTAAGACTTTGAAGCATATAATTATCCTTTCATACATGCATGTTCGCAATACCGGTGGCAAAAAGCATATTAGGTGCTAAGCCCAAAGGAAGAGATGTGATGGAAATCAAATCAACGTCCACCAACTTGCTTAGATAGACCAGAATATATGTTAGAAAAAAAGCCAACAACATTTAAAAACAAAAACAAAAAGCTAAAGTACTTCAAATTCGAATTCAGCGTTGCCCTCTGATGGATACACACAATGGATTTGGATTGGATCAAGACTCGAATATGAAAAAGTGCTTAGCAATGTTTTTAAATAAAAAAATACATTGTATGTCGGTCACTTATCTTACTTCTAGAGATAAAGATGAATTTTGGTTCAAATCAAATTAAAGTTAGAGGTTAGATTTTTATAAATTTTTTTAAAAAATATACATTTTGACCCTCTTTTGGTAATATACTATATGTCAAGTTCCATTGATCATTGACAGTTCTTTAGTAATTCCTTTGTACATTTGTTTTGCTACAAGAATGCTTGGGTTCCTATATTCGTAATAGTCTTGCTTGCGTTACTACGGCCCAAGAAACCCAATTTTATGAGTTTATGGTCGTGGCCTTTCATATAACGATTTTTCTTTATAATCAAATTAAATTCTATTTTTTCTATTTTTTAAATCTTTGAATGTCTGATTTTTAAATCCTACTAAAACATTTTCATTATTTTTTTCTTATTATTTCAAGAATGACAATAAACAAGTAAAAATCTCTAATTATTTTTTAATTTATATCAATTTTTTATCTCTATAATATTCACACAACAAGATTTTTTTTAGAAATACCTTATGGGAATTGGAAATATAGTTTCAAAGGGAATACCGTTTCCGAAAAAAAAAATTGGAAACATGTTATGGAATGTATTTTTGCACATGTATTCCAAAACCTACTTTTTGAAACATGTTTTTGAATTTTATTTTAAATATATTTTTAAATTAACTTTTTTAAAACATATTCTGAAATACAGTTTTTTATTTTTTTCGTAAATACAATCCAAAATAGGTGTTTCATATTATTTTTTTTATAAAAGACAATCCGAAAATACATTCTGAAACTCAATCTAATTTTTTAAAATTATTTCAGATCAAATAATTTAGGTCTTAATATATAATTTTAGTATAAGAACATATAATAGATACATAATATTAATTATTATTCATCTTTTAAGTATTAGAAATGATATTAAAGGAAGGTAATAATATAAGAAAACAAATCTGTATATTTGTGGAATGCATAACTTTCCCAAGAAAATATAAAAAAGGGGTTAGGATGTAAAACAAAAATTATTAAAAGGATATTTTAATTATTTTACTTAAGGTAAGAAGGTGGAGGGGAAATTATGGGGTGCAAAAAGAAATTGTTTTTCTATAAATGTAAAACATTTTCATTTCAACATGGGCTCAAGCGTAAAACTTGGAGAATCTCAATGGACTTTTGTGGTTCGATGTCATAGAATAAACTCATATATATATATATATATATATATATATATATATATATATATATATATATATATATATATATATATAATTTTTATCTGGATAAATCATATAATAAAAATTTACATTAATTGTGAAGAAGCATGTATTAAAATTTAAGATACATTTATTAGTACTATTTTTTTTAAAGTGTTATTTTAAAATGTTAGTATTAAACTTTGCTTCAAAAAAAAAAAAAAATGTAAACCTAAACCTTTTTCCTGTCATAGTGGCCCATGATGGAATTAACCATCAAGCTTCAACCAGAAATAAGCATTCGGGAAGCATCAGCACCGTAGTCCACCTATCTAAGCTCAAGTCACCAACATTGCAACATTAAAGTTAACGAAATTTAACTTTTTAAAATTTAATCTAAATCAACCTTTAGGAGTATGGTAAAAAAATATTTAATCAGAAAAATGAACTGTTATCAATGAAATTTGGATTTTTCATTTCATTCATGTATGGGCCCTTTGTCTGACAAACATTTGTCAGTACATTCCCTCCTATTAAGGGTCATCAAAAACCCAAACACCTTATCTATCAAAACGTTGCCATGAATATACTATATGGTCAACAGCCTTATCTTATTTTGAGTAGCCATGGCCTCCTTAAGCTGCCACTTTCGTTCCACCAACTTGTTCAATTCTAAGAATGTCAATAGCAGGAAGAAGAAACGTTTCATTTTGTGCTCGGCGCAGCCTACACAAAGCAATATTAAGGTATGAGCTGAAACGTAATGCAATTTAAATTTCAACTCTTTGATTGAACGCAGAAAGTTATCTACGAAGTGTTTGAATTGCAACACACCCATTGTTGAAACAGGTTGTGATTAATGGAGCAACCAAGGAAATAGGAAGGGCAGCCGTAGTGGCAGTGACTAAGGCTAAAGGAATGGAGGTTGCAGGAGCTGTGGATAGTTGTCATGTTGGGGAAGATATTGGAAAGGTTTTTGCTTTTGGTGTCATTAGCCAAACCAACTCAATTCTTGATTTTTTTCTTTTACTTTTTTTTAGATTATTTTTCAATTCTTCTAGGTCTGTGGCATGGAAGAGCCCCTTGAAATACCCATAATAAATGACCTTACTTTGATTTTGGGCTCTATATCGCAGGTAATGTGTAGAAATAACACATTTGGTACTTTTTCTTTAGTCTCTTCTGCTTGATTGATGTTTTGAATGGAAAATTTGCAGTCCAAGGCAATCGGAGTTGTAGTTGATTTCACTGACCCTTCCTCAGTATATGACAACGTAAAACAGGTTTGATTTCTGGCTAGCTAGAAACTTAGTTATAGTATACATATTCTGTAAATTGTGAACTAAATGGTTCTTTGGTAAGACTAAGAGAAATGCTAGCTGCAGCAATCTGTTTCGGCTATGTTCTTCTACATAAGCAAAAGGGAAGTTTAAAGTTACATTAGCATTTATAGATTATTGATGTTAATTTAGAAAATTGAGCATCTTTTGTCCACTAAATTAGTAATATAATTGTATTTTTAATAAGCCAAGGATCACAATTGGAGAGCTAGTGAGGCAGCAGGACAAGATTCATCATGACTTGTAACATGAGAATTTGTGTTTTGATACTAGTTTCACATGTGCGAAGTGCTACACTGAATATTAATTCATTCTTCATTAGGCAACAGCATTTGGCATGAAAAGCATAGTTTACGTGCCCCGAATCAAATTAGACACGGTAGCTGCATTATCTGCTTTCTGCGAGAAGGCCAGCATGGTGAGCACGGGGTGAGACATATAAAAACAACATAATATTTACTTGAAATTGTTTCCGTTCTATTTTCTATTTGATGGTGTCTTTAGTTATTCGAAACTCCATATTTGAATAGCAAATGTTGCAACTTAGGTCTAAACTTGCTCCTAGTCCATTTGTTCTTGTGTGGCTCTTGATTAAACTTTGATGTCAGGGTGTGTTGGTTGCTCCAACCCTTTCCATAGGATCAATATTGTTGCAACAAGCTGCAATTTCTGCTTCTTTCCATTACAGTAACGTCGAAATTGTGGAATCCAGGGATAATGCTAAAGTAAGAATCTCTTTTTATGTTTATAGTTGTACCAATGTTAAGTTTTTGCATCTTCTTTTGTATATGTGTTGGAAAATAAGGCATAAAAGTAATGAAGAGTGTGCTAATTCATAATAAATTGAGTTGAAAATAAAACTATGTAATTATCATCAAGATGTAAAAGGGAAACTAAGGGGACAAAGACGAGGCACTCCACAATCACAAAAAAAGTCCCAATCTAGTGTATGATCCCTACTTAAAACATGCTACATACTTAAACAAACAATCATTGGTCTACTTGTCTCTGTTAAGGAACATCGTGCTTACAAGTCCCACACATTGGAGTCACTGTCAAATCTTATGAGCATATTACATATTAATCTGATAAAATCCCTGATATATGTTGGTGAAATCTTTCTCATGTTTTATACACGTTTTTCCTTTTACAATTATTGTCAATTTGGACGTATCTAATGTGCCTGCTTCTATTTCTATTCACATTTTTCAATCTTGGGCATATGAAATTTCATAGAATTTGATTTGTCCTCGTGTATGTCAATCCACGGCAAATGTGAATGGTGCTAGCCTGTTACTTCAACTTTGTTAAAATACATTTCACTTTTGTGTAAGATCTATTGTATCTCTCCATGAACCAAAATAAATAGTGAAAAGGAAAATATATGCTTGCTTGAAGCATAAGTTCTAGGAAAAAAATTAAGAAGAAGGTACAAGAATGCACCTGATGAATTATATCTGCATTGGTTCTCTCTTCTCATTTTATCTACCTTCAATTTTATCACAGAATTACCGGTTGAAAGGGACATTAGGATAAAATGGCTATTGGAAAAAGTAAAATCTACTAATTACGAGGATATCTGGCTTTCTGTAAAAAAAAAATAACATGGTGAAATCTTCATCCAAATGGACACATGGAAATCTCTAAAAGATGTGAAACCAATATACTGAATTGGCCTTGGTGAACAGGATCTTCCATCAGCAGATGCAAACCAAATTGCCAAAAATCTCTCCAACCTAGGTCAGGTCTATAACAAGGAAGACCCTTCAACAGATGTCTTGGTAAGGCTAAAAACACCTTCAATTATAGAACCAATTCATACAAAATCAAACACAACTATGTTTAGACTTTATAGGTATAGTGAGATACATATCTAACTTGTTACATATATTTGTCACCCTAGGCAAGGGGTCAAGTCCTAGGAGATGGAATTCGTGTTCACAGTTTGGTCCTTCCAGGACTTCCTTCTAGTACAACAGTTCACTTCTCTGGTCCAGGAGAGGTATGTCCTATATGAATTGAACTAATTTGGTTTCAATCTTGGCCAGTAAGCATCATTATTTTATGTTGTTCATCACCAAGTCAATCGCTGCAGGTTTACTCTATCAAGCATGATATCACAGATGTGCAGTGTCTAATGCCAGGCTTGCTATTAGCCATCAGAAAAGTAGGGCGTCTCAAGGTAACCAATCACATGAATTCCCACCAATCAGTTTCTTTGTATCATTCAGCTTCATCTGGTTCAACATTTTTTTTGTCACGTTATCATCCTTGCAGAATTTGGTATATGGCCTGGAGAAGTTTATATGAAAATAGTCCAACCTCTTCAATCTCCTTGCCAATACTTTAATTTGGTTGAACTCATGGGACCTTCCACTCCACCATGCTCACAAACATCAGAAGGTATGCAAATAAGTAACAAAAGAGAGAAGGTCCTCTCCAAATTGTTTTCTGGAGACCCAATTATTCACTCACAACATTTGATGAAATTTATTTTTTAAATATATTTTGTATATTCAATTAGATTTCAGATCGCATGATGCCCTTTGATGTCTAAACGGATACCCAATGTAATCTGCATTGCTTTTTATTAATTTAACCTATATATATCTAAAATATTTGTAAATGCACGTAGTTGACGTAAAATCTTAAATAACTTAATATTTTAAGAGATCAGTCATTAAATTTAAATATATATACGCATTAAATATTTCATAAGCCATGATATGTCCAAATTTAAAATCGATGATTAAATTAATCTTAATTTTTTAATATAGGAAAAAATGCTCATTCATATATTCAATAATACATCCGATAATAATAACCATAATAATAACCATAAAGGAAGAGGTGATAAAAAAAATAAGGGTAGTAAAAAAATATCAACAACTACTGTATTTTATTATTGAGATATGGTGGAATATATACAAAAAAAAAGAAAGAAAAAGGAGAGAGAGAATAACAGAAAAATATATCATAATAGAAAAGATATAAAGATATTGCAAAACAGAAAAAAAAAAGAACGTAAAATACGTGACAAGCTGGGAATAGATGTTTGTCATTGTCATTCCCAGCTTGGAACAAAAATCTTTGAAAATAGAAGGAGATAACACCTTGGTGAGGATGTTAGTTAATTGAAGAGAGGAGGATACAGGTAGTCGTTTAATCAAGCTTTTGTTAACTCTTTCTCGAATGAAATGACAGTCCAGTTCAATATGTTTCATGCGCTCATGGAACACTTGGTTAGAAGCTATCTGTAAGGCAAATTGATTGTCACATAAAAGGAGTTCTAGTCGAGTGAATTGGATGCGAAAATCTTCCAATAGGTAAATGAGCCATTGAAGCTCAGATGAAGTGGTTGCAAGGGCACGATATTCTGCCTTAGAGGAGCTGCGAGATATATGGTTGGTTGCTTCTTTGATCTCCACGAGATGAGAGAGCTGTCAATATAGACGCAAAAACCCGTAATGGAGCGACGTGAATCTACACATCCAGCCCAGTCGGAATCACTAAAGACTTTCAACTGAAGAGGGCTATCAGCAACAAGAAAAATTCCATATCCAGGGGCATGCTTCAAATAATGAAGAACATGATAAACTACTTGATGATGAACTATTGGCAACGAACTGGCTGAGATGTTAGACAACATGAGTAATGTTAGGACGTGCGTTTGTGAGATAAATCAACCGCCCAATGAGTTTCCTATAACCTGAAGGATCCACTAAAGATTCACCACTAGAAGTAGATAAACGAACAGAATAGTCCATGGGAGTAGATGAAGGAGAACAAGCGAGTATGCCAGTGTCAGAGAGAATATTTAACGCATATTTTCGTTGAGACAAGTGAATACCAATTTTGTTTTTAGCAACCTCCAACCCGAGAAAATACGTTAAATCACCTAGATCTTTGATTCTGAAAGCTTCATCAAGAAAAATAGTGATAGCACGAATTTCAGAAATGTTATTGCCAGCAAGGACGATGTCATCCACATATACTAGAAGAGCAGTGCAAGTTGATTATGTGAACTTTAAAAATAAACAGTGATTTGCAGAGGAGTGATGATAGCCATGCGATACAAGGAAAGTGGAGAGACGAGCGTACCATTGTTGGTTGGCTTGTTTGAGCCCATACAAAGAATGTTGCAAACGACAAATCATACTCGATTTGGATGAAGTTACACCAGGAGGGAGGTGCATGTAAACCTCCTCATTAAGTTCCCCATGAAGAAACACATTATTAACATCCAACGGTTTGAGATTTCAATCATGTATGGCAGCTAACGAGAGAAGAAGACGCACAGTAGTAAGCTTGGCTACTGGAGAAAAAGTGTCAAGAAAGTCAAGACCTTCAAGTTGTGAATACCCTTTAGTAACGAGACACACCTTATATTTTTTAACAGAGCCATCAGAATTATGTTTGATCTTGTAGATCCATCGACACCCAATCACAGATTTGTTTGGAGGTAACAAAGTGATGGTCCAAGTGTTATTCGTTTTGAGTGCAATAATCTCGTCTTTCATAGCTTTAATCCAACAATCACTTTTGGAAGCTTCAACATAGGAGGAAGGTTCGGTGGTAGTAGAAATAGACAAGATAAAACGACGAAAAGAAGGAGATAAACGATCATAAGAGATATAAGAATTAAGAGGATAATGAATACCTGGAGAAGAAGCAGGTGCAGTTGATGCGAGAGTGATGTGAAAATCATGCAGGTATGTGGGTGCTTAACGCATGCGGGTAGAACGACGAAGAGAAGGTGGAGATGTAACACTATTTGAAGGGTGAGTAGAAGAAAGGGAAGGAGTAGGGTTGTGAAGAAAGTAATTAGTGTTAGTAGGTGAAGGAAGGGAAGGGGTAAAAGAAACAGTATGTGAGTGAGAGTTGGTGTAAGGAAAATGATTTTCATAGAAGACTATGTTACGTGATACTTCAATGTTACGTGTGTGAAGGTTAAAAATGAGGTATCCTTTTGTGTTAGGTTTGAAACCGAGATATATACATGGACGGACTCTGGGATCAAGTTTCTTGCGATGAGCTTGAAGGGTACTAATATAGCACAAGCAGCCAAAAACACAAAGTGTGGAAATATCGCATGGTTTGTCATATAGTTTTTGAAAAGGAGATATATTTTGTAAGAAAGGAATTGTAATGCAATTTATGAGATGAACAACATGCATGATAGCAAAATTCCAAAAAGATGGTGGTAAGTTGGAGTGAAAGAGAAGGGTCTGAGTGACATTTAAGAGATGTTGGTGTTTTCGTTCCACTATGCCATTTTGTTCAGGGGTTTCAATACATGTAGTTTGATATATAATTCCTTTAGATTCAAAAAATTTATTCATGAAGAACTCAACACTGTTATTAGTTCTGATAACTTTGACTCGATTTTCAAATTGATTTTCAATAAGATTGACAAAATTTATTATGTGGTTACGAGTCTCGGTCTTAGATAACATGAGAAAAACCCACGTGAAACGGGAATGACCATCAACTACATTAATAAAATATTTATGTCCATGCAAAGAGGTTTTTGAATAGGGTCCCCATATGTCAATATGAATTAAATCAAACGTATGAGATGCATCAGAATTGCTTAATGAAAATGGAAGTTTCTTTTGCTTGACATGGTGGCAAGTATTACAAGTGAAATGTTTATTACTATATAAGAATGGATAATGTTGCTTCATAGCGTTAAGTCTCTCATATGACAAATGACCCATGCGAAAAATGCCACAAATCAATGTCTTGGACAATATATTGGGGAGAAACAATAGTGGAGGAAACTAAAGGTAATTGGATAATAGGAGTGGTCAAAGTGTAGGGTCCTCCTTGTACATCAACTGTACCAATCTTCTCTTTGGTGTTCACATCTTGTATAATGCAAGATACAGGGAAAAAATAAGTTGACAATGAAGAGAATAAACCAATTTAGAAATAGAGATTAAGTTAAACGTGAAATCAGGAATGTATAGAACATCTATTAAATGGAATGACTCATTGAATTTGACTATGCCAGAATAAGTAGCATGAACATGATGACCTGTGGACAACTTAACAACTATAGGATTAATAGATGTATATGTAAAGAAATTAGAAAGAGAGGAAGACACATGATTAGTTGCACCAGAATCAATGATCTAGGAGGACAGACAACGAGAAATGACAGAACAACAATTACCTGAAGAGGAGGGTTGTGTAGAGATAGAACTAACAAAACCAATAGTAGTGTGGGAGGGAGAAGGAGCTGAGCTACCATTGGTGGACTGTTGTATTAAAGCCATTAAGGCTTGATATTGCTGTTGAGTGAAACGAAAATCCTGGGACATGGGAGCTTGCTGTTGATCATTATCCATGACATTACAAGAATCAGTCACAGTGTTGTTGACAGCAGAATTCTTTCCTAGAGAGGATTTATGACCGGGAGGAAAACCATGTTTGTGATAGCAAACCTCTATGGTGTGAACTGTTCTACCACAATAAGTGCAAAGTTTAGTGGATTTGTTAAAAGAATAATGAGAGCCTTTGTTATCATGCGTGGAGGGAAAACCATATTTCTTATAGCAAAGATTCTCAGTGTGACCAGCACGTCCATAATGAGTGCAACTGAGCGAGGATATAACAACATTAACCGCAGTCATTTTGGAAGAAACATTATCAACAAAATCGGTTCCTATTAATTGGTGTTCTTGCTGAGCAACAAATGAAAATATCTTGAAAATTGGAGGGATAGGATCCATAAGAAGGACTTGAGATCTGATGTTGTTGTATTGATCATTCAAGCCACGTAAAAATTGCATGGTCTTATCCTCTCGTTTTCTTTGTGTAATGGAAGGAAGAACCGTACAACAACATTTAATCGAACAAGTGCATATGGGCTCAGGTCGAAAATTCTCCAATTCATCCCAAATGGTACGAAGTTTAGTGAAAAACTCGGTAATGGACATATCACCTTATCAGAGGGAAGATGCTTCATACTGTAGATCTGAAATACGTAGGAGATCGCCTTGAGAATAATGGGGTTTGAGATCATTCCATATCTCATCAGCTTTGTCCTTCCAAAGCACATTCTGTCAGATTGAAGGAGATACAGAATGTACGATCCATGAAACAATCATGTTGTTGCATCGTTTCTAAGCTGAGTAGGTGAGATCATATTCAGGAGATTGAGGTGCATATTCATCAACAAATTCCAATTTGTTTTTAGCACTAAGAGTTGTAATCATTGATCTACTCCATGAATGATAGTTACTGGAATCGAGAATAGGTGACACTAAAGTTGTGGCAAGATTCTCTCCAGGGTGTTTGATTTGAGGTTTCAGCCATAACGGAGAAGGAGTAGAAAGAAAGCACAACAGTGTTCTTCAATGGAAGAGCTCTAGTACCATAATAAAAATTATAAAGGAAGAGGTGATAAAAAAAAACAAATAATAGTAAAAAAATGATTAACAACTACTGTATTTTATTATTGAGATATGGTGGAATATATATATAAAAGGAAGAAAAAAGAGTGAAAGAATAAAAGCAAAATATATCATAATAGACAAATATTGCAGAACAGAAAAAAAAAAAAAAAGAAGTTTACGTGACATTAAGATCCAATAAACTATTATTTTAATTTTATAAATATCTACTAATATAAATAACCAAGCTTATTAAATTATTACAATAATAAAATAGGATGTAATTTAAATGATAAAAAAAAACTATGGGGAAAAAGTAATATTAATTCTTTGAATACATATTTTTATTCAAAAATTAGTATAACTGTGTGTTTGTGAATATAATTTGAATTGAATTAAATTATTTTTCAAATCCGTGCTTAAACTTTGATTCAGAATGATTTCTGAGATCTTTTTGATGAGATGAATATGGAGTTTAATTAAGTAGAAATTGGGATATTATTAATTGAGTTTATAATTCTCATGATAAAATTTACGTTCAACTAATATACTAAGCATCACTTCTGAAATAATTATTGAAAAATCAATAAACTATGACAAACTATAATTAAATAACATTATACAAATATTTCCACTACTTATGCACTCAACTTAAATTATATTACAAGTAAAACAAGGAACTCTCTATAACTGCATTAGTTAGCATTATTATTTTACATTAGTCATTTCTCCATGTAAATTGCAAAATAACACTCAAACCCACCTAAAAAAAGGGATATACTTGAGTACTTTCATCTAATAGCAAATCTCCGCTGTAAAATAAATTAAACAATGCCTTTCTTTTTTTCTTTTACACAAGCGTATAAATTAAACTGTGTAAATTATAATAATTATTATAATTAACTAACTTTGTTTGAGTCTTTCGTTAAACTCCGTTGGGCAGATAATGGCACTGTCTATGCAGAGCCCACCTTTGGTGTGAGTGCAGTCTATTTGGGCCAAGGAGAACTTGATATTTGTTAGCTCATTGGGCTTTTCGACAACGAAATCTCCGACATGATAGTAGACCCATTTCCCAGGCCCACGCAAGTAACACTCCGAGAGTGAATGCTGGCCGTCGGATGTAGATAGTTGGAATCGGACGGGCTTGATGTCCCAACCATGAACCTGATCAACGTTGCACACGCGCCGGCCCAATCTCTTCGAGGCTTTGCCCAATTGGAGTCTGAAAACTAAGCTGTAACTCCCCGCAGGGAATTCAAACTCTAGCTCCCCTACCACTTCAACCCACCACATTTGTTGCAGATATGCAACACTCTTGAACCTGCAGGTACAAGTAATCACCATATTTAACTATTTTCCATTTCATAATTGCTTATATATGTTTATCACAGAATAATTGTAAAAAAAGTGTTTGTTGGAATCCCCTTCAAATCACGTGTTAGATTGCGGATCTATATAATGATATTTTTGAATGGGGTCACAACTTTTCCACAAACAAATTGAATAGATTCCAGTAAAAGTAATGATAACTTTTCTAAGAATAGCACAATACAACTTTGAGGAGAGGTTCTTATGCCACGAAAAATGCGCATAATGATAAAAACATGCATATTTCCCAAGCCAGTTATTTAGAATTATTAATTTACGAGGAAAAGCAAGTAGAGGGAATAAATAAATAAATAAAAATGTGGAAAGAAGCTTTTGTTTCAGGCAATGAAGTTAATGAGAAATAGAATATGGCATTGCTTATCTGCTTTAAACATATTATTTAACATCACTTTCCCTTAAACAGAAGTCATTTTCAGTGATTAGGGTAACATTTTTCTTAGCCACATTTTTTGTGCTGTTGTTTCTTCACATCAATTACCAAGAATAATATATTAACGTTTGAGCACGAAAGATCTTGTCTGCCAGAACATGGTATTGCCAGTAACCTTTTCCACTCTTTGAAAAATTCCAATCTTAAAGAATCTAAACATAAAGTCAATGTTTCCGTCGTAATTTCTGGAATTTTTGTGTACTACTAATCATGGATTTTTTTTTTCGGCTGGATAATTAATTAAGCAGAGTGGTACCTTAGAATTCAACTCGAAGCGTTCATTTTTCTTTCTCCTTAAATTTCTCAACACTTTCTCGTCAATAAAATAATGTAATGATATTTTAATGCATTCAGCGTGTTTGGATGTAAATTTTGTTAAATATACACAGGTCAAATTACGCTTTCCCTTTGTAAAATATTAAAATAGTAGATTTTTTTTAAAGGGATTTTCTTTTTTAAAAAAGTTGACAGTATTATTCATTCTTACCAATTCATCTCACTTACATTTATTAAACTAGTTTGATCCTTGCATTTCTTGTTGCATATAAGCAGTTTAAAAAAATTGTTTTTTAATTAGGAATTTTCCCTAAAGTGATATATTCTTCCACAATGTACCAAATTTTTATTTGTTAAAAAATTACTTTTACTTCTAATGACAAAAATTTATTTTTCCACAAATTAAAAGAAGTCTTATTTATAATTAGTGTTCACACTTTTGCTGAAGGAACTCTTCTATAAACGCCACTGTGGCAATAATAAACTTAAGCCTCAGTCACATTATTTAAACCAAATTAATCTGACCGTAGGTAATTTGCGAAGAAAGTTTAATCTTCATTAAAAAATTTATTCCTTTAATAAAAAATTTAAGATCTCTTGTTAACCTTAAAACATGGTCGTGTCATGAAAACAAGAAACAATATAATAAAACCCAATACTTTTCAAATATGAAAACAAATACTTTTCAACGAGCTAATAATTTTCCTATAAACACAAGCAACTCTAGGGAAAAGCAGACAACTGAAATGGTGTCGGGGTGAGGACACACAAATTGACCACAAACATTTCAAAACCTAAAATTTCAATCCATGTTTCAACATAAATCAAGGACAAACAGAAGAGAGAGAAAAGAAAAGGTTCAAAATCATGTAAAAGTCAAAGAAACATCAAATTAAGTAAAATATCCATTCATCCCTCACCTGGATTCTTCAGTTGGGATATAATTCCAGTATCTTCTGTCATCTATTCCTGTAATCTTCAAGGACTTGGATGACATGAACAAACAAACTTGTCCACTACATTTGTCCAACCAAACTTCCTACAACAATCACAAGAACGGAACAAACAAAAAATCATTAAAAATTAAACCAAAAAAAGAGAGAGAAACTCAAACTTAATTAGTAGTTACTAGCTAGTGAAGTTAATTGATGGAAGAAGGGATATCGATCCATAGCATGAGATTAACTAATTAATCAACTTACTTTGGCGCCACCATCAAAACGATTGGGTAGGCTGAGTTTTGCATAAATCTCTTTCTTGGTCATAGTAGCAATATTTTCTTCACCAAGAACTTTATCAGCAAGAAACTTGTAACTTGGTGGCAACTTTGATTCCCACACAAAATCAGCCGAGGAAGCTCGGTGAAAGGCCCTATTCACTCTTGCCAATTTGCATATATCGGGTGGATCAAGATTCATGAACAAGGAAGAGATGCAACTCTCTGGGATATCACCAAGACCAGGTCTTGATGATTGAGAAATAGACCCTTCTTCATTTTCAGCTTTATTTGGTGAAGAAACACCAGCCCCCATGACACAAAAGGAAAATAATTATATGTGGAAGTTTGAAGAAATAGTGTTGTGATAAAGTGTAGAATTTGTTTATAGGTAAAGAAGGAGGAGATAAAGTGGGTGGGAGATTGAAGGAGGAAAGGGTGATGGAGAAGGTGCAAATTCTTCCATTTTGATGGTGGGGATTATGGAGACGGCAGTGGCAAAGACACCATTTGGTTTATGCTCTTAAAAATGGTGTGCGCGTGTGTGCGTGTGAGGGAGAAGGGATAAAGTGAAATTCTTGTGTCCTGAAATCTTCAACGTTCCAACTAAGAAAGGAATTTCTAATCAAAGGGACGTGGACAGAGTGTGCATGGACATTGTTAGGGACAACCTTTTTGGCACATTTCCTCACTTGTTTCCGTCACGCGTGGGATCACGCCCCTTTGCATTTGCTTCCACGTCCACCCTTCATTTTTATAATCTTAGGTTTTGTACTGTCTATCCAAACCTCGCATCATCATCATCTCATATCATAACCTTCAGTTCCACTTATTCACGTGGGTTACAAATGAAGTATAATCCTTCAAAAATGTCAAATATTCGTCCTTTCATATGCATATAAGAATGGTCGAAGTAGCTTAACAAACACTTAAGTGTTGGAATCTTGCTAATATTACTTTACAATTAGAATAACTTATATTAAGAAGAAAAAACATTTATCTTATACACTTAAGGTCTCTAATCTAACTATATGTGTTTCTGATAATATATAATTTGTAATAATATTATAAAATAATAGATAATAATTATTGGATAGAATAATTTTATATTATTTAAATTGGACCCTAAACTTTTTTAAAATATGCTTTTGTCTTTTTTTTTCAAAATTTGTTTTTTTATTCTTATATTTTTTTAATTGATTAATTTAATTATTTAAAATTTAAAAATATGTAATTTTAGTCATCTTTTACATTTGAATTAATATTAATTAGTAGTTTTTATCTTTATAAAATTTATAAATAAAAAAACCTGTGATTTTATTTTTGTAATATTGAAATTCAACATTTAGTAACGATTTCATATTTTAAAAATTTTGAGGACGAATAAGGAAAACTTAAAAGTATAGGTTTTAACACAAACTGAAAGAATATTATAAGATGCTTTAGAAATAAATAAAGAATTAACACTATGGATTTTATCATTTGAGTAAAAAAATAGTTGAAGCCCTTAAATTATATGTATAGAAAAACTAAAAATAGTTCGGGAATCCAAAATAGGCTTAATCTTTGCTATGAAAAATTTGAAATATGCATAACTCTCACTATTTATTTAATTATTGGTTCTCCTAATAAGTTTAAACATTTGTGTGTGAGTGCAGTGATATGGAAGAAGCATTAAAAAGAAATAGTTTTGGAGTATGGGAAGGGGAGTGATTTAGGGTTTGGAAATTGATGATGGTAGCTTAAGTTCCTAAACTCAACCTCATCCAGCTGTAAATCATTATGCATCAATTTGGAATTTATCACATAAATGGATATGTATGGGTCGATTTTTCATAAAATTTCAGAAACATTGTGTTGGGTATGTACATGTATGGGTCGAATTATACCCACCGTATCACCAACCTCCATCAACTCTCTGTTTTCATAATTTAAAATATATATTTAAATTCTTTTATTGAAATTAATATAAAATTTATTAAATATAATTGTAATTAATATGTAATTATATAAAAAAATTGTTTGATATGAATCACGTATTTTACTAGACAAAACACTTGTTCTAATATAATTAATTTGCTAACAATTAAACTATTAACATAAATAATTACGGAACAAATTAGCAGAAGTATAATGGCTAAAACCTGATAATCAATTAACAATAAAGAATTGAAGCAGGTTATAATTATGTAAGAGTTGGAATCCTCAAAAATAAATCCTTGTCTTACCAATAAACTTTTGGTCATAAATATTTACATTTGTTTTAGATCTTATAAAATAAGTGAACTTTAATTTTAGTATTGTAAAGAAACTATTTTTATCTCTCTAAATTAAAAATCACAACTGTTGATTTTTAAGATTATATATGTTAATTAACGAAAATGTAAAGTAACTATTATAATGGTACAATATAATTTAGAATGTGACATTTTCGAAAAGAAAATTAAAATCTCTACAATATAAATTACTTATTTTTATCAAAATAAATGTTAAAAAATAAAAATTATAAATAAAAATCAAAGAAAAATATGTTATAAGATTAAAATCAAAATTTATATATTTTATAGAGATTAAAACTAGTTATTTTAAATTTTACAAAAATAAAAAATTTATAAAGACCAAAATGAACTATTTTTTTATATGTTAACGAAACTAACAACATATTTAATTCTATACTGAATTATTGTAATTTTGGTTGCATGGATCATGTGTTAATAAAAATTAATCACATATATAGCTGCACCTAGTCTAAGCTAGAATACTAAAATTTATTCTTTGAGATAACTCGCACTCCATTAAAGTAGCGTGGTGGAGTCTTCTTTTTTAAAGCTTTTTCCCTCAGACAATCAGACAAATTGACATCAACCATTAAAAATTAGTGAAAGAAAACCTTCAATATTCAATTAGTTTATTCAAGACTTTACCGTCGAGAAAAATTTACATATCTTATCAACCAAATGAAAGGAGATTAGAAAAATAATTTCTAAGAATAATTCTAAAACACTACCACTAATTAATTAATTTTTTTTCGTTCTTATATAATAACTAAAAGTATCATCACATAACATCACACATAATAATTAACAGATTAAATACTGAGTCGGACAAAGCAAAAACACATGGCTTTCAGAGTAATTAATTGTAACAACCACGTGTTTTTTTTTTTCATGCTTTTCATTAGTTTGTCAACTACTTCTTCTTCTGTTCTTAAGCCAGATAACATCATCAGTGTTTTTTTTCATGGGGCGAGCAAGAAAATGTTTCCAAAGAGGAGAAAATAAGGATGAGGTATTTAGAGGAGATTTTTTTTTTATGTTGGTGATATCTCTCATCTTAAAATTTTTCAAGACACATCTCTTTCCATGCAGAGTTTATCTCCATAGCCAGTGGATCCATCAGGGTTTGTAATTCCTATAACTTTTGTTAACAAACAAAATGATTTTTCAATATATTTATTTATATATTTATAATTTTATTTTTTTAGTATTTTCTCAGTTTAATTCTTATATTATGGTCCTTAAACTTAATGATATTTAATATGTTTACTTATATATTTATAATTTTATCATTTTATTATTTTATTCTCTTTCACCCTTTTATATTTATTTATTATTTATTAATAATATATTATTTAGTCATTCCAAAATCAATGGTCAAGGTTCTACCCATGTTGAGCTTATCGAGGGTTTACGAATCCTTTTCATCTATTTTATTTCTCTTCTAGAATAAAAGTTAATTTGGTTAACACGATAGGACAAACTGTTTCTTAGGTATTTTTTAACACTTATAACATTTGTTTAAATAAGAGTTTTATCATATGTACCATTGGTTAATAATTGAGTAATTAATGTTTGATTTTGTTGGGATATTAAGTTTTCTTAACTTCTATTTTTCTACTAACCATTTTATGTTATAAATATAGTACTTATGTACATCTGTATAAAGAGTGTGTAAAGTAATGAAGTTTGATTACTTTTCTCTTGATATTTTTTTTTTAAATACTCTATCTAAGACATTTCCCACTAACAATGATGTCAAGAGCTTTAAGATCAGAAAAATTAATGGTGGTCAGGAAATGAGTTCCAAGGCAACATGTCAATGCTAGATAGCAAGAATTTCAATAATTATGATCGTTGGTGCGTTGAGATGAAAGTAATCTTTGGATTTCAAGAAATCTTAGAAATTGTTCTGGTTGGATACAACGAGCTATCAGAGAATCCCATAGAGACACAATGTGTTATGTTTTGTGATGCAAAGAAATGTGATTGTAAAACCTTGTTTTACATTCATTAGTGTGTTGATGAAAATAATTTTGAGACGATTTCATTAACAAATACGATAAAAGAAGCCTAGGATATACTGACGCAAAGTTACGCAGAACTAGAAATATTGAAGATGGTATGACTTCAAATTGTACATCGTCGGTAATAGTTGATGCACATGGGAACTAAACAAATCATTCAAGAATACTTTACAATATTCTCTCACACAAACTTGATGAAATCATGTGATGAAGTTTTAAAAGAACGAGTAGTGGTTGAGAAGGTGTTAAGGACTCTTGTTGGAGGCTCATCAACAACACTTGCATAAAAGAGAAAATGATAAACGTAGTTTAGAACAAGCCTTGTTGGCAAAACAAAATCAGAAAAATGATAGTGATCGAGACAAATTCAACAAGAGAGGTCGTGGAAGAGGTTTCGGAGGTAGAAATAATGAAGGTCGAGTTTCATAAGAGAGTTCTTCACAATCGAGATAGTAAGGGCAGAAATTCACATTGGAGAGGTGCTCGATCTGATTTGGTGGTGATAAAAGCAATAGACAATGTTATAATTGTAAAAAGAATGATTATTATGTAGTTGATTGTTGGAGTAAAGGTTCCGAAAAAGAAACAAATGTTATGCAAGAGAAAGACTCTAAGGATGAATTTTTGTTGATGATGACCACAATAAAACTAGAGAAAACACATGGAGAATCTTGGTATGTGTATACAAATTATTTCAATCATATGTCCTTTCAGAAGAGTTGGTTTGTCAAATTAGATGAAAAGATTAAACCTAAAGTGAAGTTTGCAGGTAATTCGACATCAAATTGTGAAAGGAAAGAAAATATTATAATCATTAGGAGACGAGATGATAAATTTGTAATAATTTCATATGTGCTTTATGTTTCAGCCATGAAGCACAATCTATTGAGTATCAGTCAACTTTTGCAAAAAGGTATTTAATCAATTGGAGATCAAAGGAGTAAATATTAAGAATTCTTGATAAAAATGGGACACTTATTCTAAAGGCTTTTATGAGAAAAAAACAATACATT